GTAGCCATTAAAAACAATAACTGTTATTTTTTGTAACAGATGTAGAAGATTTCTGTCATTAATAGACWATAGTTTTAAATTTATATCAAAGTGATGTTGTATGTCACTTTATTGTAATAAATAAGAGTTTTAGAATAAATCGTTTTAATTGTTTTTTTATCTGACCGATATTTCAAGTGTAGTAAAAGACAAATGAAGTTCGATATGGTGCGGGTGGGATTAGTAGCGATGATCTTTTGGGCAATTAAGGTTTTCCTCTCTGTCAACCAACAATTGACTGTACGAATTCCTCTCCAGTAACAGATCCAGTTGGTGTGGTTGTTGGTGATGTGCATCCCCTCCTAGTACCATTTAATGCTTTACCACACACTATATTTTGTCTTCTTTCTGACCATTTTGTGGAGTGCTCCCCTTTCCGCGCGCGTGGTGACCTGCGCCCCCTTCCTAAACAACCCATCCCCCTTAATTAATACCCCTGAAGGAAATTGTGACAGACGCCCTAGTGCTCTATGAATCGACATATCTCAACAACTTTTGACGTCGATGACCTATCGGCCCTAAATTGCATGCAAAAACGTTCTGATGCCACTAATGATCGTTGTCCAGAGTTAATATTACTGCGCAAAAGACACCGCACTTTCCAGCGGTAACCTTACCGTGACTGTTCCGTATCTGTGTTGTATTTATGAATCCTTATTTTTACTTGTAATCATTACCAGGCGAAGTTCTCGACTATGACCGAGGTGAGCGTGCCGTGTTCCGTACAGTTGCACAGTCACAGGAAATCCGCCCTAATTACATGTGACTCGGATGTTGATAAGACACATCTTCGATCCATTACAATAATCAGGACCTCACAACGACAGTAATGTCATCTTATCAGAGTCTCATCAGGTTCTGTTTCTTTATGAAGAGTCGGTTATTGAAGCACAGGTTATCCGGTCATGAGGGCCACACTAAAGCACCCACCCTTCCCTCCCCCACTTTCCCTTCTTTTTTAAAAAAGTATTTTCAGCTCTATCCGCGTGAAATGATTAAGATTTATGAAAGACTCATAATTCAAACTTTTGGTTTTACAKCAACTTAATTGTGACTTCAAAATTGCAAAGTGAGTTGAATTATAAGCCACAGGAATGTTTTCAGCTTATGCCTTTTAGGATTCCAAAAGATTTCTMGCTCGATTACGCTGGTTTCCACGCTGAAATAGATCGGCATAGCTGGTCGTGGGTTTCGTGCAACTTTAAGGGGTTTTCATTACTAATTCCAATCAGTCATTGCCATCAAGTATTCTTTTANGTCTGTACTCACAGGAGATGTTTTCACTATCACCCATTCTGCAGGACATTCTTCATGTCCACACGACTGTACTGTTTTAGGTTTAGGCTCTTTACAATCAGAATCATCAAGAATTTCTTCTTCTCCATTCGACTGCATTACACACATGACCTCGCGAGACTGCTGACCTAAACTACCGTCGTTGCATGTCTTGCTACAGTCCTGCCAATCCTTCACGGACCATCTGATGGAAAAGAAAAAAAAATGATGTATTTATTTTTTTAAAGAACTCATGACATGTGTTGTCGCCAATGTTTACGATGAAGTATATTCTCTATAAGACTTGATATCTCAGTTTACAAATTAAAGCCATTAAATTCTTTACCCTCCCTCGATACAATGTTGGTAGTCCTCAATGTAAATGATGAAGGTCATCACTTAACAAAAACGGGGAAGGGCAGATTATAACTTTGCCTTGCGCAAAACATCTTTAAGGTTTGAGTGAGTTTTGGCTCTTCTCATTTTCCATCAAACAAATCTTACTGTGCGTCTTTGGAGATATCATCACTTGACGCTGACTTGGATACCAGATTGTACTTATAGACCACGTGATATTTGGGAGCTTTATAGTTAGGGTAGTAATTGTCGTAGTCGGTGTAATCGAGAAGAAACTGAAATATTAACAAAAATTTTATTTGAGATCAGTGGTTCCAGTGGCTCCRCCCCAGGCCTTCCTCCCTCCTCCCCAGGCCCCATSGAAGGCCTGATACTCATTTATTCCATGATATATTGATCGTTTTCACCGATTCCCATGAGATTCAAAAGATAAAAGACCGGCGGCCATGTTGGAGGAATGAACTAGAAATCCGATGGCCGCTGTGACGTAACTTGAAAACGAAGAATCGGTAAATATTGATACACGGTTAATACTGTACATTAGAAAAGTTTATTTAATTCAAAGTACATTTTTCAGTCAAATCAGTGACTAAATAGAGTTTATTAATAATGATTAGCCATGCACAGACTTTGTAAAGAGTATTCCGAGATTCTCATATTAAGATGCATTCAAATGCAGGATTTGTTTTTCATGACTGAGGTATGCGCAGATATCGTCATATCTAGCTTGAACGTATCATGACTGAAGCACAGTCTGGAATCTTATTCTTAAAGATTAAAAGCAAATCCTACATAGAAGTCAAATCCCTGATTTTTAAACTTTGAATGATATCATTTTTTACACACTTCTAAGTAAGAAATTATAAAGTCAAACCTTGACAATAATTCCTTGAGTCAGAGGACCGGCAGCAGTAATCATCTCTATATCTCCATTTTGTGTATACACAAATGTTGTTCCAGCRGCGTTCAATGTCTCGCTTCCMCCACTAACATACTGGTTCATGTTCAGGATTGGTTGCTTTGAGGTYGTTTCCAAGGCTATAGATACCAATATACAACATCAGTTTATTAGATATATATCGTTTCCATACATGTCTTTCAAAAATGGTGGTAGCTCACTACCGTCAATATCGGGGGACTAGTGACGAATCATGGAAACGAGACCTCAAAGGCCTTACATCAAGAAATCACTACGAAGATCGCTTGTGTATGTAGTGTCTAAAAGTTTGAAAGATGTATTRGTATATTATTTATAACAAAACACTCTTGCAAGACACCATCGAAGTTTACTATACGRAGACTGACCTTTGAGACCTCGTTTTAGTGCTTCGTCCCCAGTGCCCTGGTCGGCGACCGTGACATATCGCGCCATTTTTGAAAGTCGTGAATTACTCACTCATTCGATATGATATGATACTGAGTAGTTTTGCGGTTTAAATTTGTTTTCCCCGTACCACAACACCTACCGCTGTATATCTAGCAGTGYCTTGTTTTGTTTTTGAACAAACTCACTCAAATACGTACGTACATTATGTTTATTAAATCTTTGTTAGATGGAATTCATCTATGTTTGATTAAATGTTTTGTTTCCGAATTTTCATACATTGCAAACTAACTGTAAACTAGTATTTAATTACCTAAGTAATTCTTCGAGTTGGACACTTCACGGATAAGGATTCCTTCCGCTCCAGCGGGTATGGTTGTAATGGTCTGGTATTCAGCTGGAAGGAATGACAAAACAGCGTTCATTAAAGTATTGTGTTAGTGAAAAATTGAAACAACCATAAGAAGAAGGAATGATTTTATTTTTTGAAGGATTATATTCTCATGCGTTTAAGGTTTTCTAGTATGCTTAGAAATGTTGTACTTACGACCATTGTAGTCAGGAACTTTGTTATACGCATTCGATATTCTTGTCAAGGAACATCCACTACCATCACCATTACACACACCACATTTATCGAGCTTTGCTTTAGAACCAATCACATTGTCACATCCCAATTCCTGTAAAATTTCAAAGTAACAGAACATTCTAACAACTGTTGATTGTAAATGAGTTGTAGTGGCATTGCCGCTTGTCTCTGACGCTCTGTTCGAATTTTCAGTCTCGTCTCGACCATGGATGTTGGCTTCCTTTGCCCTAAGATGATTATTGGCTTGAACGTCACGTCATAGCCGCCATTTTGGATGAAGATAACAAAACATCCCTCATTGAATTTCATCCAACATGGCGGCCATAGCTTTGWTCCTTTATCTCATGGAATTCTTGTCCATGTGGTTTCAAACCAAGAATAGTGTTATCAATACAAGATAGAAAAGGTTTGCGCATGCTCATACAAGTGAATCGGATGATTGACCAAGTGCCTGTTATATCAGAAAAACGTGAATGTGAAATAACTTGAAAAGCGATTCATTGCTGAATATTCTTTTCCCTTTATTCTAGAATCTAGTTTCCCAGTAGAATAACTCATCATTATAACAGAGTGATGAAAGCTTACCTTGCAAGCRCCATTTACACAAACACCCTTCGGTCCTTTGCCATCGCATCTGAGACCATTTTCTACTGCACCAAATGTGTAAAACGTATAACTAGAACCAGAAGCTGGTGCTTCACAAGTCAGTTTACATCGATCTTTTGCTAATAAAACAACAAGACGGAGTTGTAACGAGAAATATACACACAATTCGGAAAATACAGATTAGTAAAAAATACTAATCTTCAAACAAAAAGCTTTACTCTTTCACAGACGCGTCTTTGAGTATAGCTTAGTATGAGGGTATCCTATTTATTCTAATCTTTTTGTTTCCCTCATCGTCTTACCTGCTACTKGTCTCTTTGGGTTGTAAACCCAGTCATACAACTTGTTTCCAGAGAAACGCATATTTCTTTTACTAATGCAAGCCTTCATGCGTGGATCTGTAGCAGATGACGGGCATTTCTATAAGAAAGAAACGATATTTCTAGTATATTCTSAAGAAATTTCTTCGGTTTGAATAAGTATATTGGTTATTTTAGCATCAAGAAGCTTAGTTCAGCCATAACAACCCTCAAAGCCCGCATTAGACTTTACCAATTCAAACAGATAGCGTGATCACCTAAATCTGATGAATAAATCCTCTTGGGTAAATAAAAAAAAGGGTTTTGACTCAGGCCCACCATATCTCATGTAAACAAGGCCTAATTCTGGCTGGCTGTTAATGTTCTCCTGCAGTTGATACTGAGTAACAAATACAACAATATACTCAATAAAAAGTACCTCGTTAACACAATATTTAAAGTCTTTATAGGCTCCCATGCATGGTTTGCCGAAGTTCTTGGGTCTGCAAAATAATCATTAAAAATATAGTTTTCCCATGATATACCCCTCCCCAGTATGGGCAAAGTTGGAAGTAGACTTCTTTGTTTTATTGCATCGCTATTAATGTCCTCAAGAGGTGATGGATGGTTTATTACAGAATATCGCCAATGATGGCACAAACGGCAACGCTTGGTTTCTTATTTGCACACTAACATCTTGTATACTGATCTTAGCACTGAGTGTTATTCGGTTACAGCTTTGACTAGTATCTATCTTTGGACTAGTTCATATGAGTTCATTGAGCTTTCACGCCGGCATCATTCGTTTCAATATTCTACTAACGATTTCCATCAACTGAACTCTTGTGTTCAAAAGACTATGAAATATTCGAGGCAATTATAATTCCTTCGGTCATTATCTTTCATCTGTTTAGCCGGCTATGGTTTTTGTGTTATGTTTGTTTACGTATTTACTATAACAATTACTTACTTTGGATTGTCGCACTGACGGGTTCTGACCATAACACCACCCCCACAAGWGTGAGAACATTTACCCCAACCAGACCAAGCTGAAAATCCTCCATTGACAGGTTTAGGACCATTCTTCCCGAAAGCCGATTTGTCAACACACRTTCCTCGTCTACAAAACTGCACAATAAAAAATACATGAGTTTACATTACACAAAACCTTTCTCGTTTTCTCCCTCCCGAGTGTTTATAACAGAGAATGGAAACTAATGTCAACATTAATGAATACCACTTCATTCGCGAAAACGCGATATGTCGTTATTAGGGGCAAAAACTATTGTTGATGCTGAAACACTTAAAAACACTAGTTTCTGCTTACTTTATCTTGGCCACATTTGGATCCCTCGGCTGCTGGTTCGTTGATAGTTTGACAACCATTTCCCTTCGAGCACCACAAGGTCGAACAAGCTTTCTGCAATACAAACACTTTATTGAAGACCATTTATGGAACAAGGCCTGACAAAAAGAGTCTTACTTTCAGACTATCAGGGTTATTACAAAATCCAGTTGATCCTTTGACCATGAGCTTRCACTGATCATCAAGACTATACTCTTGTCCAGGTAAATCGGTTGGTATTTCTACAGACTGACCTGGTTTATCTTTGAGRCATGATGAYCGACTYCCACTGAAAGGTGACAAAAAACAAGGTGTCAAGCTCTTAGGGAAATCTCATAAATCCAAAAGACGTCATCTCAAATATTTTCAGGCATCTTAAGGTATACTTATTTATAGGTATTGTTTGTATACACTTGATTGAGAAAAACATTGTCGGGTTCAAAATAGTTCCTGTTGTTTTCGTTGGTTGAGGTGTGTGTGGTGCGGTGTTGGTGATGCTACTGTTGTTCTCGTTAAGATTGTGGTGCGTGTGTGGTGCTGTTGCTGTTGTTGTTGTTGTTGTTTGTGGTGGGTGTGCTGTTGTTGTTGCTGTTGTTGTTGGTTGTGTCGCCGTTGTGGTGTTGGTGCTGTAACTGTTGTACATGTTAGTTGTGTTGGTGTTGTTGTTGTTGGTTGTGGTGGGTGTGATGTTGGTGCTGTAACTGTTGTACTTGTTGGTTGTGTTGGTGTGGTGTTGGTGCTGTTGTTGTTGTTGGTTGTGTTGGTTTCGGTGTTGCTGTTGTTGCTGTTGTTAGTTATGGTGGTGTGGTGTTGCTGTTGCTGTTGCTGTTGCTGTTATTAGTTGTGGTGGTGTGGTGTTGGAGCTGTTTTTGATATGATAGTACCTTAAAAACTTTACGATGTAATCGCGACTGCAGCTAGACCATTGATAACCTGTGGGTTTTCCAGAAGCTTTTCTTGCCATGATATTCACAGCATCAGGACAATTATTCCCYTCTCCATCATGCTCTGCACCAAGACTACAATCGATAAAGTATACGGAATTGAATTATAAGYTCATGCACCGTAGGAGCGTRAGTCGGAATGCTTACTTGTGTCCAGTTTCGTGAGCGATAGTAAAAGCAGTACCMAGGCCGTTATCAGTGTTTAGTACACAGCTGGTTGTAGCGCCACACATACCGCCGAGATCAGCCAGTCCTAGAAACAAAACAGACAATATGATATATAGGGACATCGTAATTACGAAAAAAGGACAGAGACACATCGTTGGTTTGCTAAATTGTCCAGCCTGTCTTAGGTCTTCAAAAACGAGGAAAAGGCTGAGGATACTTGATTTGAGCAAAAAAAACCTCAACTTGGCGCGCAATATTGTTTCGTTGAAGTCTTTGTAGAAGATTTTGTAGATCTCATCAATAGATTTCATCAATAACTTTTTTTCATGCAACAATGGTTTTTGCAGCGAGAGTGAGGATTTTTATTTCTCGTATTAGAATACCTACTTAAACTAGTTATTTGCTTACGACACAGTCCGGCATTCAAACCAGAAATGCGCGGAACGGAGTAATTTTCATTCCTTATTTGATTAGAAACAAACAAACAAAGTATTCTTAAAATCTTACAATCAGGTTTTATCCCTTACCAAGTACTGAGTTACAGCTGGCTGATTTGGGGTCGTAGCTTTTAGCACAAAATGGAGTTCTGAAAAAAAAATTGAATCTTAAATCATGTTTTTCTGCTTTTGAAAAAAAGGAAACTAAGTGATAATTGCGAAACTTCAGGATGTTTCATAATAATAGTCTGACAACAAAAGTAGAAATGAGACGAGCACCGGGAAATATTCCATAGAGTTTTAACTTAAGTCACTAAAACCCGTGAAACATAATTTGACTATAAAAGTGTAGTCAAATAGACATAAAAGAAAACAATGGAATATAATTAGAGCGTATTAAGGTGTATTAGTCTAATATCTMTWTYWYRTKTTTTTTTTTACTTCACTCTATTATTAATCGATTGATCGTAATTAAAGAATACTAATATAAGTTTTTAAAATCATCCACATAGCATAGCATTCTTMGAGTATAGCTCAGATAATGTGCTCTTCCATGTGGTAGACATTATACTACAGCTTACTGCTCATGCTCAATAGAAGTGTAATTTATATATGAACTCTTTTTTGTCTACACTAGTGGTATAACAAAGTGTAATAGATTATGAGTTTCAAAAGTCATTCGAACCATTCTAACGTCATAAACATGATATTGTAGTATGCTACCTTGATATGAGAACAGCATTGTCAAAATAGCTTTCGTCTGAATCTTTTAAATTAGCTTTTTGCCCACTTGTCCATTTGCAGAATCGTGACAATGTTTCKGTAGCATGAGAACTGACGTGAAATCCAGGTTCATACTGCAACGAAGAACATAGTTGACGTGCATAGCCTAGTCCGATGGACCCAAAGTCGCCGTAACAGTTAAGAGATTTTAGGCAACTTTAAAGGCCCGTTTACACTTGCGATCTTTGAAGCGCCTGAGTTTCGAACATGTTTGAAATTTAGCTGCAAGGTGCGCAAGAACAAAGTGGTGATTTTCGCGCGACAATCGCGCTGCAAAAATCGCAAGTGTAAACGGGCCTTCTTAACACTGAAATATTACACTAATTTTGTACAATACCACTCGATTGTATACAATTTTAGGAGATTTTGAACGAAATCTTTATGGATATGATAGACACGGTTTGGAATCACAATGTCCTATATACTCACTGTCTCTAAAATCTGCATCTTTTTTAGAACGTACTTCATGTTTACACCAATAGAAGGGCCGCCGATTAGACTGTGTACCTATAAAAGGAAAATAATAATAATTACGATATAAAAAACATTTAATGGCAATGTAGTCCTGTTAAGTTCTCTAGGTATATCATAAAAGGAAGTTCATGTTTGTGATTCATGTTGAAGTTACTACAGTAGAGTCAAACGTTTACGTAGTCTAACTCCACTAATGGTCTTACTATGTTCATGAGAGTGAGAACGTATTTCTTCAATAGCTGGACACTTCCGTGATACGCCTTCATGTTAACGTCGGTCACAACAAGTGCCTCGATGTAATATTGAGTTGAGTACACATCGTCTTCTTGATCACCGTCGTCATTGGATGGTTCTTGTTTCTTTGATATTGGCACTGAAAAAATAATATTATAATCATTTATAGAGTTTAGAGCGTGCGAAACGTCCTCCCACTTGCAAACTAGTCTTGTCTGTTCAACGAATCGTTTTTTCTCTCGATCATTTTGCATGTTGTAAAAGTTTTGGCGACATTTAATACAATATCTGATTTACTACACAGCTTATATCAATGACTATAAATTCTGGACTGTAATACTTAAGTTTTTTTAGTTTACCCGCAAAAAGATTTTAATTTTAGCCTTTGAAAAAAGGTTGGGACGTTTTTTACAGGGAAGAAGGTTGAGGGAGGGGATAATGACYTTTTAGTTCCTAAATGAAAAATATAAGACCTTTAGAAACCAGCATTCGAATTTCAAGTTACCATATTTCGTATTCTTACTTAATATTTAAGTTAAAAAAATAAATTATGAACAAATTATTATTATGAACAAACATGAACACAGCGATAGTTATCTGCGCAAGGTATAAACAACAAGAAYAACAAGAACAAGAACAACAACATCAACAACAACAACAAAAGCACTCCGACGTCCCTGATTTTACTCAATTAGAATAAAATGAGGTTGAAGTCAATGATTCAAAATGCTTACTTGATCTGACGTCTATTCCTAACTGYCGACCAAGATTTGCAGCATCGYCATGGGAACGTTTGTAAAYCACGTGGGTAGGCGTRGTAAGCCCCAGTCTTTTTGGAAGAGGACTTATCATAAGAACCTCTCTTTTGCTTTGTATCATTCCAGTCTGACATTAGAATCAGGATGAATTAGATTATTACGTTTTTGTGGCTACTGCTTTAAAAAGGTGAAAGTCACTATGCTGTCTGTATAGAAGATGTACGTAACACTTAGCACCACGCATGCGCATATAAGAAAAGATAAGAGAATTACAACGATCATTATTAAAGAATACAGAAAAGACTATGAAAAACATCTTTTTAACTCTTACCAGTCCATCACAGTTACTAAGAGCCACCTTGTCACCAGGTCCCTGATCCGTTACCAGGTGACCAAGATAATGGCAGTCATCAACAGATCGGTCGTACCGAGATTCGCCATTGTTTCGTATTTCAGTTACAAAGCCCGGTGCTAAAAGCTGATCGGTGTTCAATTTCATGTCCAAATGGTATCGCTTCCCGAATGCTAACAGTCCAAAATGAAGATTTTTTGGTGCTTCTCTTTTGTCGTTATGGGTTACGTCATGTGACAGGAATTCACCTTGATCGTTCAGTAAAACAGGGTGTACAACGTCATATTCAGGAACTGTGGAAAAATAACGTAGAAAACGGCTTGAATAAGAAAGTGAAGTCAAGAAAGCAGCATTTTTTGTAGGCACACTAAAGTTTCTTTTTTTTAAGTATACTCAAAAATACGAAAAAGAAATATGCTGCAATGTGTTATTGTATTAAAAATAGTTTACAAACTTTACACGATATCGTTGACTGGCATCAAGCCAGTAAACTATGTTTTTAATTATTTTCACCGTGTTTGTTTTTGAATTCTCTCGCGGTGATTGGATGATAAGGTTAAGTCAATAGGAAGAAATTTTGATTGCATCGTCAAGTCTCAGGTCAGGCGCTCAATGGAAACTGAAAGGAAAGGTTTTTTTTTTACAATTTTAAGTTCACTGCGCACGTTTGTCTTGTGTATGTCCTCTTGTTATTGACGTTTTAGGATATCGTCATTTTGCTGTCCAAGCTCTCCAATTGGAATCAAGACTGTCTTTAAAAATGAGAGGGCGTACTACTCAAAATATGCAAATTTGATTATTTTTGTTTTTCTAGCTCTTTCTCTCAGTAAAACTGAGTTTCATTTGTGATGACAATGTTAAACCGAGCAGACCGTAAAAAACGAGACCAAYAGCCAGTCAGCCATGATGCGCGCGCGCTTTTCGACGGAATATCTTACCCGAAAACGGAAAGACRAAACGACAATTAAAACTTAGAAGAAAGGAGAAATAACGAGGAAAAGATAAGTAAGTCATTCTCTGTATTCATTTCCCTTTCAAATGGCGATTTCTGATTTCGTTATATTTGAATAACTACTTAATAGACCTGACGTGCACGCTGCACGCGTGGTAACCCGTTATCCTTGGCTGGTTGGTCAACAGTGTTTTTTAACGGTCACTGGTCCACGACATACTGTCTGCTTTCATTCGACCGTTCAGTCACTGAAGTTGTTAACGGTCAACGGCAAAGCACATGGTCAACTTTWAGTTTAGAAAAACGGAATGATGAAAAAGTCGGGTCCAAAAACAACAGCTCAGGAAAGAAAGGGGTCGAGAGTCAAGAAGAAGTCAATGCATGCGATAGCATACCGATAAAGCAATTCAAAAAAAGAAAAAATTATTTAAACGTTGTGTTTGTAATGTATTCTACGAGTTTATGTGATAGCAAAACACTTCATCTCTCTTCTTCGCGGTGAAACGTTTGGGCGCATGGACAGCAGTATTGCTGACCGATAGGTCAATAGGTGTTCTTGAAATCAAGACAATTACAAAATTTATCTTCCGCAACGAAAAATAGTTTATAAATTTACCTTTGTTTGGTGAAGTTCCAAAGACTTTTTCCACTTCATCGTCTGAGAGAAGAGTGTGAATTTTTTCCTGCTGCAGAAACACAAAAGAGGAAATACATCACTGAAAAAAAAAAAATGATTGAAAACAGAATTTGTCAGCAAATGAGCACTGAGTAGGTCGACTTACTTTCAGAACTCTTGCTTCTAAAAGGACAGCTATGAAACTCAAAAGCAAAGCCAAGCTTCGGCAGTTTGTCATCTTGGTGTGCTCTTCTTGAAGTTCAATGATGAACTGAATTGTCGTGAAAGACGTCTATTTTTATTCAATAATTAGCAGTTTGACCGTTATACAAACTGTCTTAACATAACAATAGAGTTTTTCATTGCTTTGTTTTCTGTACAGTTTTACCGTTTTTATCACACAGAATCCAACTGTGAAAAKGATCAGCTAGGATCTGCATTAGCAGAGGTAGATAAACAATCTTTTTAGCTGCAGCTGTTGTTATTTTAGTACGGATTTTAAGCCAGTTCAGACTATACGGACAGCTTCTTTATCTTGAAAAGTTTAACATGTACTTAGTTGTTCTTAGTTGTTTAATTTATATGAATTATGAGCTATGGTATATTAAATCAAAAGTACACCTCAATTGAATCGGTTTCAATGAAGATGCAGATTTTGACGGAAACATTCTGGGGGTTACATTTTTAATTGAGTCCTGCAGTCCTGCAATTGTTGCATAGAATTGCACATCTGCCAAACAGAGTAGACTAGATAAGAATAAYAATAAAAATAAAAAAWAAYAATATGTAAAACGTAACTGAACTTAACCTAATTCTTCTCATTCAAATAGTGTAAAAACGGTTACATTTCTCTCCTACACGTGGCTTGATGGATGGCTGCCAGAACTCCAATGTGGAGTTATAATACTTAATAAGCCTTATTATGAACTCCTTAAACCTAGATCTCAATTGAAACTCAGACTGACAATGACACATTATAATATACCAGCAAAATCGACTTTTGTTATGATAAAAGCAAATTTAGTTGACCGCTAGTTGGCGAAAGTTTAATATTATTGTATAAATAAAACTTAAATCCACTGACTTTCAAAATTATCAGTTTACGATCAATACATTATTTATGCATTGATATTTGAATACGGGAGCTTTGATTGTACGATAAGTATGGATAAATTTGATAAACAAGAAGAAAATCGACGACGCGCGCCCGCCAAAATTCAGTCATGTTTTCCCGCGCTTTTTTATCTTTTGTGYTTTCTAAAATATTCCGTTAAGATCACACTTAAAATTAGTGCAGCTCAKATTTTGCTATTCATTTATTCATAGTAATTGTAAACAATAGTTTTTTTCAAAAGGAAAAGTATCGATCAATGCAGTCTTCTAAAATTATGCAGAAGAAATGTTTACACGGCCAAGCGCGAAMCACGGAAGAAGCAGTAAATACAGTGTATAGAAATCAATAGATGCTCATCATCAGAAAATTATTATTATTTTTTGAGAACTTTAATTTATCCCTATTTAACATCTTAATTAATGGATCTATTACACTTAAAGAACGACTAACCAGGCACAGGAGATCAGTTTTCTTAAAAATATTCACAATACATGTGAGTCGTTGACTTTTTAATATCTGAAAATGTATTCAGGTCTTTTCTTACGCTCCTTCACAGGAACTTATTTCTTTTCCCCCTTGTTTAAATTTCATTAATTTTTAACAAATAAAAAAGTGAARATTGATAGAATTGTAGAATGAAATACATATTTAGTCATCCCTCGTCATCCCAACAGTTTCTAAGAGCTAAATGGCATCAGTTTCCACAGAAAGTGTGTAGTCGCTGACCTTGGATTTGTAGGCACCCCGTGGTCGTCCTGTTTGCGGGAAACATCCTTAGTAACAGCTTTACTGCTTTGAAGTTGACCCTTTTGTTGATAGGAATTATTTACAGTAGATTAAATGTAATCCAGTTCACGTGCAGCTAATACAGAACCAAGCAGTACATTATACCAGTCACCAATGTAAACAAACTAATACGTTTTAGTCCAGCACTATTRCATCTGTCGGTATCACAACATCGAGCTCGGCACATTCCGTTGCATTCATCTTCTAGAGTCTTACAACGTTTTTTATCGGCGCAACGCCTCACATATCTTGTTTTTTGAGTATCGTTCACTGTTGTTGGAGGAATTTCCACGTATTGTACTAGACAAGCGTTGAGATTGTGTGGCACGTAGGTTGAACARTTCTTCTCCAGTACGTTTCTGTTGCAATCATCCCAGGATACGGTCGAGAAGCAATGGTAGCATGTGATGCTTGAAACTGAAGAAGAAATGATATTCAAATAGTATATTATTGATCTTGGCGTGCAAGTTGCGTCATCACCGCCATGTTGGATGAAAATCACAAAGCATTCCTCATTCTCTTGTTCATTCATCCAACATGGATAGATAGCTTTGTTTATGTGGTTGCACACGAAGAATAGAGATTAAAGTTCTTATAAATCATGGACATGGAAATTGCATACATGATAGTAACGAGGTATGTAATTCCTTGGCGATCCCTAACCCCAGRGCTAAAAGCCGTTTGATCCTTGATTCCCCAAATGACGACACCTATGATCACTGATCCTGAACTTTGTGATCCTGAAATACTAAAACATTGATCTCGATTCCAAAGCTAAAACACTAGTACCTGAGTCCATAAAGTGACGAAAATATGATTCCTGAGCCACAAAAATAATGGCTGATCCTTGATCTCATATGCCTCGTTACTATCAAGTGAATAGCCAGATTTCAAGTCGAGATTTCACGTAGCATCTATGATTTTGAAGGCACTTTAGTTAGTACCATGTCGTGATTTTGTCGTGATTTCTAGCCGTGATCATCTCCGGCAGTGGTTTCTATGGCCTTTATCAGGAGAAGCACAGTGTACAGTGCTGTTTATCGTCCGTGACCGTTAACCGTGCTAACAAATTGACGAACGATATATTATCAAACAGACCCCTATACTATATTTACGATATATATTATAAAACAGACYCCTCTATACTATATTTGCCATACGCGGGTAGTGCCGCACAATTGTGTACGGAATTAGTCAAGTCTTTTTAAAAAAATTTAGGGTATGCTATCCATTTATGGACATATTGTCAAGGTAAGGGTATAATCTTTATCTAATATTTATCGGTCGCTTTTCTTGTCTCACAAAAAAACAAAACAAATTCAGACGATCAAAAAGTTACTAGTTGAARCTAACGTAAACCGCACACCAGCCTTGGGGAATGACAATAGTGTTCGTTGGACGAGCTGTCTGCCTATGAGAGCTGTCCTGCATATTTAGAGCGGACTGCTTTACACGAGACCGTCCACAAGTTAGGATTGACTGTATCAAATATTGAATGAGTAAGTCTGGGGTAGGGTGTACACATCTTTATTTATTAGACCGCTGAGATAGGGACATGAAGTTTAGGGTATACCACTTCCTCCCGGCACTACGTTTGAACTAGTCGGCGAACAGTCGAAATTAATAAATTAGTGTGTGATGTGGACTTAGTGAGTATTKCCATAGAAACCTCAGATATATAAAAAGGGCAATGTTTACACAGCGTAAAAATGATGAATTTCAGCTTGACACTTTGGAAATTACATTTGAATGAAAGTTTACAATGCAGAACATCAGACCCTCTAAATTACTCATTCAATCCTCAAGAACTGAAAAATCGGATAAATATTTTTTAGTTTTTGCAMTATCATTTACCTTTTTTGCATACCTTTTCAGTATTATTTGGAAAACTCAGCCAAACCTTTTTTTAAATCAAAACGGGAACAAATCTTTTTTTTTTTCGCGCACGAATCCATCCTTGTGACCCTTCCCCCTCCCCCCGCGTAAAATAATCCTTGGCTGTAGAATATTTGTCCCCATAAGCCACACTAGCGATCGATAAACACAAATATGTTATTGAAAGAGTTTACGTTAAATAGTACCTTGGTCAATGTTGAACCAGAAGAAACCGTTCAACAGTACAACAAMMATTAAGAATCTTGCCATCTCCAGTGTTTAAAATRCCGTCCSGTTCTCGAACAGTTYGACCGGCAGCTAGTTACACAACTGACAATCGGTGAACCTCGTGGCTAATGACTATCAACGTCTATAAAATGAAATAACTTTACATCATAAAGATAAAGAAATATAAAGCCTGCATCCACAAAAGGTAAGARAGAAATACATGCGAATCTAACTCACCTCAATGAAAGCTTGTACCTAGAAGGCTAGATATGTTTGAACGTATTACTCACTCTTGTTATGGCTGTAATCCAAGATTTGGCGCTCTATGAGTGATGTTTTAGTGACCCCAATTAAACACGTTAAAACAGAGAACCGGGAAGTTCGTGGGTTGACTTGTCTCTTTGTGTAAATAAGACCATTCATGAAATACACCACGGAGCTATTAAATTAAATTCAATCTCGATTTAATCGATATTATCACCAACCTGTTTGCATCTGTGACCAAAGGTTAGAACTCTAAAGTAAATACACAGGTATCCCGAGCATTAGTCAATTAATCAGAACATGAATCKATTATAAGTAATAATGTCATCAAAGTGTTTGGCTAAATATTGTCAAAATGTGGGGTATTAATTGAACTGACATGAATATTACGTTTACAGTAATTTCAAAAAATGCATGCATAGCGTATTCCAAGACCGAAATGCATTGTGTTGCTATTCGATTGCACGCGAGTGGGGTTAAGAATTGCCGTTGAGCAGTGCCCGGTTCAAAACGGGCTTTAAAAAAACACATTTTTTCAATAAGAATGAAACAGTGCAAGCCGCTATATTCTGCTTGGCTATTTCTAATTCTTTTCATTTGTTCCCATTTTGAAAATTCAAAAAACTGGAACACGAAACTAATTCAGTTTAGATATACATTCGCCTGCATACATTTTAGCAGAAAATCAGATTGTACTGCAATATACCAGGCCAGGATAGAGTCTATTTCATTTGACCGCGAAAGATTACTGAGACTAATGGCTGATACCACACTAACAGTCTAATCGTAATAGTAGCCTGRCATCGTTGTAAACTCTACGCAGTCCATTGTGACATATATCTTGTAAAGTCTCATGACATTTTGTAAATTGTAGTCACATCGCCTTATCAAAATTGTGATTCGTGWATGGTTGTCTGTTTTTGGCGGATACGCATTTACGGCGAACGCCAATCGTCAAAACTGATCACGTGATCACTGTTTTTCTGTATTAACGCTCCGTTCTTTCGCGATTGTGTATAAAAAAGTGTTTTCACGTTTGTTTAAAATTTTGACACAAAGAAAAGCCAATTTGTTTGGAGTTTGCAGTAAAGGTGAATCTAAAACTCTCTAATGTATTTCACATTCGTCTAAGTACAATTTCTTAAGAGCTGTGTTTTACTGTTGCCAGGATTTGGTTGAGGAACGCTGGTAGCGGACGGCTGCTGTTATGAAAATGTCATCCACTAGGTTACGAAGTTCCTGTTTTTGTATACAACCCGGATTCAGGTCGTAGATTGGTCTGTCTTAAGTAAACCAAACCATCTGAATACTGCACTGAATTTCAACAGCTTTATNCGACAGCAAATCGCCAGCCCTGAAAATTTCGATTAGAAAAATTGAGTCACTTCTGACATTTACCGAATATGTGTTTCTGCAATTTGATTGGACGACACGTTGACGTTTTTTAAGTGTTCGAGGTGTTACACCTTAATAGCAAACAAACAAAGCACATGTTTTTACGACCTTGGCAAAGGTCACGCCATTTTCTTTTGCTTTTCTTCATATRMATATTATTACGTAACATGGGAAATTTTCATCGAGATAAATGGATGTCGTCCTGCGCTAATATTTCGAAATTCAAGCCAATATACGTTTAGTTTTTTGTTAGTCCATTATTATAGCTCATGATCTATTGAGAATGACTATATACTGAGAACTAACATTCTCGACTGTGCAATAATTGCACAACTTTGTATCATATTGTATTTTGTATTATAGGGCCATGACAAAATCATGCTATGCRTCTAAAAAATCAATCCCACTTAACAATTTCGTTTTTTGAGGGTAAGTGAAAGAACAATAACCATTTGCGCGCCATTAAAAAAGCAACACTTTTAAACTATAGCAACCTTTAGTTGTATTTGACATTAAAAGAAATCATACTGTTCATCTAGTGAAGTAACTTTTTAAGGCAATGTCTTTTGCCTTCWAGTAAAAAGTGTTCTCACATGCCGCTCTATTTATTGCAAAAAAAGCTTTATCTTTTATACTTCATAGGAAAAATACTTGACAGCACAACTCAAATAAATAAATACAGTTGTCGTGTGAAAAAATGTCATAAGAAACTGAAATAATCTCCAAACCCACTTCACTTCGATCGATGATCACGACCGATTATCAGCCCACCTTTCTTGCTTTACAGCTTAGTTTTTATATAATCGGTTTTTTTATTTTTTTTTTCCAACATACTTTGGCTGATTGACTATTTACACATGCATCAACAAACACAATTTTATCGTTAGCATGATAAAATAGCTCAATGAAAATCTCAAGTATTCAAGTGTCAAAGACGGATTATAATGTGTTTCAATTTTTCGCTCTTGATTTTGTATCAGATCCCTTGTTTAATTAATCAAGGCGCTCTTTTGTGTTAGCGATGGATTCATAAATATAGAATTAAGTTATGAACTCTAAATTATAGGGGGAGACATTTAGAAATATTAAACTTAAATTCAGAAGGTTCAAAGAAGGAATCCGGTAAGGGGTAATGGCTGCCACTGCATTGGAGAATTAAATCGATATTATCACTATGAAAAAAATATTCTGTAAGCTCAAATTGTCGTCTCTTGTGAAAAGCTTTTGTCGCTTGTAATTCTCATAAAATCGTTGTGATGGATTATTCTTCATTTAACTTGATTTTTTCTTCTCACTTTTAAACCAGAATTGAAGTA